TTACCCATCACCCTTTGATTCACACCAAAAGGGGGATCTAAAAAATGGTTACCTTGCCTTCAGGCTTCAAGACATTCTTTTTTCTTTACTGTCAGCAGTGATGCATCTTCACTAGTGCTAGCACAGCCCACTCTGAGGCACTTTACTCTCACCCTTGTGGAGATGAGCCCAAAAGGTTTACATGAGGTTTGGGATCAAAGTCCAGCAGGCACCTGACGTTCTCCGGCTTCTTTCACTCAGAGCTGTTTCTGAGGTAGCAGTAGCAGGTATCATTTCAGGAGAAGAAAAAATACCGGTCACACCCCAATCACCCTTATAAATAGACTTTCAGAAACAAATACAGAGCAATTCTACATTTAGTATTCCTGTGCTGTTTTAAACAGAACTAGTAAGTTTTTGCTGGACTTTGATACTTTTCTTTTTTTTTTTCCCACTGAAAACAATCACGTTTGTTCTGCCTAAAGAGGAGATTTTTGTTACATCCCCTTGCAAATGGTTCCTGATCTTTGTTAATATTTCCAAATTTTTCTTCCTTCCCAGTATAGTCAGTTTGAGGGAGGAGTAGAATCACTATGGCAGCAGGCTGCTTCCCAGACGTGTCAGAGAAACCTGCCAAGTTTCTTAGGTTTATTGTGAGTGGTGCTGAAATTCTCTTTTGTGTTTTTCACGTAATCAGTTGAAAATAGCAGTATTTGAATAAGGATTTCACACTCCCTTGTTCTATCCCTGGCATGGCCACTTGAGTTTCATCATCCATGTCAGTCTCATGCTTGTTCCTGAGAGGATGAAAAGGAAATGGTGGGGTAAAATACTCCTTAATTTGCTTCTGAAGACAAAGGTCTCATCATGCCTCTTGTACTGGAGCACTGGTACAAATCGAAACAACAGCCCCTGGAGAGTGTTCAAATGGGGTTTTCTGGAACTGCGTCACATTTGTTTCCTCATTGGAAGGTCAGAGGGCTCAGAGAAGTCCGTAACAGCAGATCAGTCTTGTTGACGCGGCAAAACTGAGCTGTTTTTTTAAATTGTGTCAAGGGTCAGCACCTCCAGCAGAGCAGCTATTGCTGTTCAGGCAGCCAGTCCTAGCAGGGAAACTCTCAGGGATAGATGTTCCTCTTGTAGGTTGTGTTATTGTCATTGGGAAAACACTTCCACAGCTTTGGCATGTGCTTACTACAATCTGTCACATTAATTTCCAAGCTCTGGTTTGGAGTCATTCTTTCAAATCGCATCTGGGAGATGCTGGGATGCCGTACCTGGTCTTGGGTTATATACTTTTCCAAGCTGAGGGCTGCGGAAGTGTGATAATACCTGCCCTTCAATGCTACGGATCCGTGAGGAATACTCTTGGGTCTGATTTTGTGGCACTCTTACAGATATTCAGTTCTGCAGTGCAGACAAGTCCTGAGCCTCCAGCTGTGTCAGCTGTTTCTTGTCACCACAAGAACACATCTTCATCAGATGACATCAAGTCCAAAGAACGATGTAGCACCTTTCCTCATAAATGTGTGCGCTTTGTTTTTGGGATATCCACTGGAGAATATAGGTGGTGCTCCATGCCTGTACACCAGGTTTTGATGTATGCCTGTGTTCTGATTACTAAATGTACTTTGTAGGCTACTCTGTTGATTCCCTGCAAAATGGCTGAGTTGAATTTCATCAGTGTTTGGAGCTAGAACTGCCTCCATTATATGGTTAGAATTATTCTTTACAAGTATCAGTTTCTTTCTACTGACTGTAAGGGAAACATAAATTCCTAACTTAAGTTTTTCAAGTCACCTTGTTCGTCTGTGTACCTTTGCAGTGCTGAAGTAACTCATCTGAATCCAGCCCACACTCATTGAAGTACCTGATTTAGAGGCTTTTGTTGCATTGCTTGTATGTTACTTGATATTTTTCTCCCTTTTGCATCAATAGCAACAAAGAAACCCTTATTTCTGTGCAATTTCATCAGTTGCTTATAGAAATAGAACAAATACCTGGGAAATCAGAATGGATCCCAGAAGGGCCTTGTAGAAATTTCTTTTCCAGCTTCAAAAGGTACTATTTACATAATACAGTAGCTTCACTGAAATGAATAAACTGTGATTTAATGCAAGACCTTTTGTCTTTTATATCGTACATTTAAATAAAAGATGTATAATTTTAAAATAAAAATATTTGAATTAAAGATCTTTAGTTAACGAAGTTGTGAAATTGAAGCCTGTTTCTGATGCACAGCATCGAAACCTTTCACTCTTATTTTAGTAAACAGTTCAGGTTCATACTAGCTAATCTAATGCAGTCCAATTTAATATTACCTTAATCTCAGCTGCTCCCCGTGCTCAGTTTCAATTTATGTATTACTGGGTTCCCTCTGGTCTGCTCTCCTGCTTGCCTTTGTCTGTTTAAGACTGTAGACAGCTCAGGAAGGGTCATTATCTTCCAAGACAAGCATGGACAGAAAAAGTAAGTATCTGTTCATACTTTTCTTGGCTTAGACCCATATCCTTGCTTTCAAAGGGCCTCTCTAGGATCTCTAATTCTTATAGGAAAACAGTAATATATTGCCATCAAAAATGTTTTCATACTGTTTTTCTTTTTTTTTTTACCACAGTTACATAATTCTATGCAAGTGTGGAGAGTATCCCTTTGTTCTAACCAAAGGCTTTAGCTACACTGCAAAAGCTTCTCTATATAAGATTTTTACAGCCTATAAGCTTCTGTAGGCTTGTCTCCTTAATAGGTTTTCCAATGAGTTATTCTGTTTTTATTCATGGCTGTAGTGCTGTTGGAGTTTTCCCCTCTGAAGTTTTTGGGACAACTACTTGCATTAACTTTCACTTGTTGCTTCCCTTATTCTCAATTCCCTTCTAACCCTTCCTCACTGGAAGAGTGTTTTCTTTATAAGCTAGGAGTAGCTCAGAAATGCAGCCCTGTAGCTTTTACTCACTACAACTGTTGCATGTACCTCCCTGAACAGCTAGCTTAAAGGAAACCATTTTCCAAAATGCTAAATGTTAGGAAAGATCACCCAACAGATGCTTGATGTGCCATCTGTTACAAACAGGAATGAGGCTGCAATGGAGAAAGAACACATTGAGGAGAATAAATTCTGTTTCTTACTCTGTGCTCTGCATATCCTGCCATAACATCATTTTTTGAACTTATTCAGGCTTTCTTTGCAGATTTGACTTTCAGCTTTTTCCTAACATGTGCAAACAGACGTTGCAGCTGCTTCTGTACTGCATCTCAGGCACTGGTCATCTCTGCTGCCCTTCTAACTGGAAGTGTGGTGCTAGCAAGTCCCAGCTGCTCTTAGAACAGGTGATAAAACTCTTCCAAGAAGAAGACTTCCCAAGGCTCACTGTACTCTGGCCTTCAGGTATATCTTTGAAGTTCTAAACTAGTCCTCCTCTGATCTTATTTTTCTTGATCAGATGATGGAGGACAGCCAAGGCTCATCTCTAGTTCTATTTTCTATGCTTTATAAGCCCCAGCTGCAATAAATTTCAGACTACGTTGCTCTTTGGCATCCAAGCATATTGTGTTGATGCTATGGAGAAGGTAAAAAACCCCTGCAATGAATCTAAGACTGTTCTTCACAGAAGGCTACTTCTTTGACCCTTGCAGTTGTTGCCAAGTGGCTAGCTGTAGCGTGAATTCCTGTTTATTTATTTATTTATTTATTAATGAGGGTGTGCCTAATGGATGAGAACACATCCAGCTTTCACATGGGAAGGAGAAGTTGAGATTCTGAGTGCTGAGCTAAAGCTCACATTCATTTCTTGAAACAGAGTGTCCCAATGACTAAACTATAAGCTTGAATGAGATAGAGTCATGCTCCTGCTTTTAAGGCTGGTAATGGTGCAGAACAATGGTTACATCAAGATTTTCTAGTACTAGTGATTTTGGTTTTTACTTGCTTATCCCACAAGTGTTGAGATGAAGATTTCCAACAGTTTTCTCCTCTCTGTTACAGACTGTTTAGTGTTCTTCTAAGGTACTTGCTATGAGGTAAGAAATTCACAAGAAATGCCATTTCAATAAAGGACTTTTCTATCTTTCTGTGCCCTCCTGCTTTCCAAGCACAAGGAGTGGTGCCTAAAAGAACAGGGTTCTGTAAAATGGAAAGTGTGAAACCATGTGTAACTGCATTGCATGTTTTTTGACAAATCTGAGGACAAATGCTTAAAACCACAAAAAGACTGACTGCTCTATGCACGGCCTCACTGAACCCTGGTAGTGCAGGCCCCCTTCCCACACAGTGCCCTTTACATTAGCAGTAACTCAGAAACCTCTGTTAACGGCTTTCAGAGAAGCTAGACAAACTTCCTCAGAGTTGTTATTCTGAAATAAATTTTTTGGGTTGGGGGTGTGTATTTTTTTTTTCTTTTCTTTTGCTGTTGTTTTGGTTTGGTTTTCTTGTTTTGTTCAGGTCAGCTACTTAGGATGTATGCCAGAAACCAAGAAGCTCCTGGAGCGTGATAGCAATGTTTATGACTGCATCAGATTCTGATAATAGCCAGCTTTCAGACTAGTTCTACTGTCAGGAATACCATGTATGCGACTGGAATATAAGTATTTGTGAATAGATCACAACTACTTGGTGTTTCCATATTTATATAAAAAGATATATAATTCTTGATAGTGAATTGTCCTTTTTTTCAATTCAGAATTTTACTTTGCTGCAATTTGAGGGACCTTCAGACATGCATTATCCTAGTAATAGCAGGCTTACCACAGTTGGTGAATAAGTGAGATGTAAATGAGAGCAGAACCCAGGCTGTGGTATGTACTGCAGATTACTGTCTACATTAGGGAAATTATAATACCTTCCTATCTGGTTACGGTAAGACTAGTACGTCATTAGGAGTTTTGCCAGGGGAAATCCGTATGTCTGACACTTCTAAGAGATCAGAGTTACATTAGAAACTCTTTAATAACTAAAACTCTGTTGAGCCTTATTGATGCAGACACAGAGAAAAGTTTTTGTAGGATAACTGAATGTACTTCTGAAGGTTAGAAGTGTGCAGCACTGCAGTTCAATACACCTGCAGAATTCATGAGGTCTGCAACTGTTCAGAAGTTTCTGTAAGAAATAAATTACAGAGCAGCTCTCAATAAGGGAGAACTGGAAGAACCTTGTTTCCTTTGTTTAGAATAGAGTCAAAGCAGACTGAAAAAGGGAAGAAAATATTTCATACCTCTCCTTATGAATTCACAGCTCTCTTGTTTCTTTTTAGTATGTAACATAAACTGAGGAGTTAATTTGTTTTTAATGGTTTATTTTTTTTAATGTCCCTTCTAAATGCAGATTGTCTATCTTGGAAGGGATTACTGCAGAACTGGAGAATAAGTCTCATAAGATAAGAATTCAGTAAGGGAAAAAGATATTTCATCAGGATGCTACAATATTAGATTGAATTAATTGCTCATTTACATTGCAGGCGAAAGACTTAGAGAATGTATGAGATGCTGGGTCAGCAAGAGGAAAAGGAATGATGGTAAGGAAAACTTTATCAGTTTGACTCTTTTCTGTATGATTGCTGCTCCCAAGTGGATTAGAGGAGTCCTACTAGAGAAATAGAGGATAAGGAGGGGGGAGTTGACAGGTAGAGATATACCCAATCTTGTTTTTAAACAAAATCAATAACAATGCAATTCTGAACTGGCTGGACAGTGGTATATCTCCCTACTCATCTCCTTAGCTGCTCTTCATATTCTACTTGAATATGTAGAATAAAACTTATTTCATTATTTCCTTGAAATATCAAACTGCTACTGGGAAGGACTGGTGAAAATAAATTTCATTTGCATCTCTCATAGGGATCACACATGGCAGCCAAAGTAATGTCACTATTTTAATATTAAAACACTACCAAGGTTTTGTCTATGATGTTGCACTTTCATGTACCTGGCACTGATATGGCTGGTGGTGTGACAATGCAGAATAATGAAAAACCTGAAGAAGGTGTCACATTTTTACACAACACTTGAAACTGGTGTAGGGAGGAATTATTGTTGTGTTAATATTTGGTTTTGATTAAAATGACAGCCATATCTAGACAGATGTGTTGAGTGAGTCACAAAATGGCAGGTTCTGATATAACACTTCTCACAGGGAGTGTTTGCCAAATGCCTAAAGTGAATATGTATGGTGTTTCTACTTTTACAATAAGCTGAGCAACACACAGGTATCCAGTCTCTCCTAGGGCTGGAAAATCTTTTCAATAAGGAGGAAAGCCCCCTCAACTCTTGTTAAGTCAACTAGTTCCATGAGACAGAGTCTGGCTTTTATATAGTAGCTTCTTAAGGTTTGTATCTCTTGATGGATTTTCTAATGTTTAAAGTGGTTTGAGGGAATCTTTTTCTGTTTTTGAGGTGCTTGTCTTCCTCCTATAAGGATTTCTAGATTGTAATAAGGTTTTCCTTTCTATTCCCTTAACTATGTGGAACTTTTCACCTTCTGGCACATTTGGTTGAAACTGATCAACGTGTCCTGGGATGTGAACACACATGGAAAATCAGACAGCTTGGAAAGATAAAAACCTCCCAAGCCACTGACAAGAACAGGAACATTTGCATTAGGTTTCCTTTTGCCAGGCTTCAAAAAAAGCCATTGTCAAGACTGGCTGGTAGCTTTAGCCCTCATTGAGACAGCTGAGCCTCTGCGTCTGAACCAATTACTATGGTTTTAGTAGGATTGGGCAAAAAGGCAGCTCAATTCAAACTGCTTTATTGGCATGACTAGTGTTGCAAGCTTTGCCAAAAGGCATGGTGCCACTAGGGATTTGAGAGATTCAACGTGTCAAAATGATTTTGGTCTTAAAATGAGTGCTATTTGATACTTGATTCTTCAATGATTAGAACTGGAGAAGGTTTTGATCTCTGTTCCTGATCTTAGAGGTTTGGATAAATAGTCTTGGTAATGGCAGCGTAACACTGCGTGAGTCTGTTCATCTAAAAACCGACAAAGGCCAAACAATAAGGCTCTTTCCAGTGTTTAGAGAGAGTGTAGAAACTAGAATTTGGATTTAAGACATAAAGTACAAATACCCTAACAGGGTCTTTTCTAAAACTGAAACAGAGGCCAAATCCTTACAAACAGTCTGTTAATTTGCAAGTAATTGCTCTAATAATTAAGTGCTCAGTTAGCTGATATTTGGGAACTGTCATTTAGAATGACAATACAAAGAGTTAAATCCTAGTTTCTTTAAATCCAGTATTAAAGCAACATCAAACAATACCCCAGAATATGTACGTCAGCTGTAACTGGGCTGGTTTGTACTTCTTGGAGTCTAAAGTTGTGTACTGGAAAATGTTAAGCTGATAAAGAGTAAAGAGCTGCACTATTTTCAGCTCTCTTATCCAGTTAGCTGATTAAAACTTTTTTATAGCTAGAATAGAGCATCTGGACTGGTACACATAGCATTCATTAGAGACACTAAATCTGTGAAAAAGAGTAGGAAAACAACAAGCTTGGAATAGACAGACCACAACATCTGAACAATTTGTAGTTAGAAAACCCCACTGATGCTCAGAAATCACAAGTATCTGACAGTCCGTCAGGATTTTTTTCTCTCTGCAAGCATGTGCTGTTTTTCTGAAGTTCCTATGTGCCTTCTAAAAAAAAAGTTGAAGATTGGAACATACTGTACTGAGTAGCAGGCAACGAAGCCAGCATTCAAAGAGGAAAAACAATTCAGACTGCAATGCTTCTTCTATCTCCCAATTTACCACAGTTTGCATATAAAAAGGATGATAATTTAGGTTGTTTTCTTTGTTCCCTTTAAAGTTTTAATATGGGTACTAGGTGACTGATCAGTGCCCTGTTGCTCCCATCTAAAACCTCCAAAGAGGTCACCGAGTTTATAAAGGATTGCCTGCCCTGGGCAGGCCAACTACTAACTGTAGTACTGATATAGGCCTTAATCTTGTCCATGGCTTTTAACCTGAGCTATGTCTTCCAGTCCCCGTAAGAGGCTCAGCAGTGCAATTACATGTGACTTGGTTTCCAGATTCTTAATAAAGCAAAAATCCAGAAATTTGCTCCTTCAATATCCTTTCCTGCAAAGAGCCCCTGTGAAGTACTTAAATTGCCACTTCTGGTCTTAACAGAAGATTTTTACTGGAATGAGTTGAGGAATCCTGAAACCAATTCTGCATTTGTGGAGTAAGGAGTCAAGTCAAAACAGACTTAATTTTAACTAAAAATACTTCACTTTTTAACACAAGTATAACAAAATAAAATATTTTTTCCTTTTCAACATCCAAATATGTTATGAACTGCTCAATTATATTCATTAGAAAAGTGAAGAAAAATGTAAAGAAAGTTATATAAATCTCTGCTTTGGGATGGCTGTGTAATTTTAAATCCTTACTGGTATGAGTTTTATTTTCAAATTCTAAGTACTTTTACAACTGAACTTGGATATAACACTCTTGAGACAGTGAAGTATAGATTTTCAGAGGAAGTGAAACAGTGGAGGATGTTGACATAAAAAGGTGCTATAAGTGATAATAGAGTGGGCTGATGGCACTGTGAAATTTCTGCTTTTGGTCTTGAAAGAAGCAGGACTGTGGAGGTGACACATGGTGTCGGACACAAAGTGCAAAAGTCACCTTTGGGGGTTCTTTTAAACTTACCTTCTTTGCAGATGCTTCACTGCAGACACTTGCTCTGAGCTTTGCTTTCTGAGCACTTCAGTGTATGAAACTTCTGGGACAATCCTTGATTTAAGAAAATATCAGTGTTCTACTCTTCAGGCTGCTTCCCACTGCCTTGCTGCAGGGGTGAGATGGGAAGAAGATGCAAGGCTTCAGTTTTCCATGACCCTGAGCTCATGGACAGCCTTGGTGGCTTTGACCAGGTGGTAGCTCTCAACTGGATGAGTGCAACTGCTGTAGCTTGTTGGCTGGGTGTCATGGTTTAACACCAGCCAGCCACCAAGCCCATGCAGCTCCTTGCTCACTCCCCCACCAGCAGGACTGAGGGGAGCATTGGGAGAGTAAAAATCCTGGAAAACTTGTGGGTTGAGATAAAGACAGTTTAAAAGAGAAAATAAAAACTACACACACAAGCAAAGCAAAAAAAGGGATGAATTCACTGCTTCCCATGGGCAGGCAGGTGTTCAGCCATCTCCAGGACAGCAGGGCCCCATCACACATAAAGGTTAGTTGGGAAGACAAATACCATCACTCCAAATGTCCCATCCCTTCCTCCTGCTTCCCTCTGCCTTATATACTGAGCATGATGTCATACGGGATGGAATATCTTTTTGGTCTAAGTGGTTCCTCGTGCACGTGTGAATTTACACGTTGGGTTTTTCCACACTCACCTGTCCTGCATATGTTGTGCAGATCAGACAGCAAAGTGCTGGTAAAGGGTAACTGGTTTATTCCAAATATACACTGTGTACCACTGTAAGTTCACAGGGCAACCTTTCATTTATAAGAACACCATCAACAGTGACATCAGGCTGTGGAATGTCGCTTTCCTCTCCATGGAAAAGGATGGAGAAAGTCTGTCACTTCAGATACTGAGCCTGCCAGGGATTCTGTAATGTTGGTAGTAAAGATTTCTTTGGACATGGCAGTGATTGTTCTACCTCAGGCTAATGAACTGGCTGTATCTAGGGGTACCTCTGAGTTTGTTGCTTTCTCTTGGATCAGTTCAACTCTGACACTTTTCCTGGAGTGGGCTCAGGGCTCCGTCTCCCTTCAATTTCCAACACTGACATTGCTGTCAGATGGGTGCCCTGCTGCACTCCCACCTATACCAGCTGTGGCAGGGCAACACCTGGCACTGTGTCTGGCATGAGAGAGCATGAGGGTGGCTGTAAGTGTTTCCCTGAATGCTCTGCAGCATCCCTGTGTGGTGTGGTGGCCCTGAGCCGTCAGGCTGTCAGTGAGTGTAGGATGGCTTTTCAGTCCACTATAAGAGGGGAAAGGCATTGCAATGAAAATTCTCTGAGGCTGGAGAGCTCAGCCCGAGCCAGAGGCTTTCCTCTCTCCTGTTGTCTGCATATGTGCCCTGGGCCTAGCAAGATAATTAGTCCTTTGTTAGCCAATCTTTTTCTCATTTAAGTGCTATGATAATGAGCTACAGTCAGTGCCCTTCATAACAATATGATGGGGGTAGCAATGCACTGCTAAGCAACATGAGGTTGTTTTAGCCAGGTGTAACTGGAAGGTGTGGGAGGGAGGTGGGGGCGGCCATAGCAGTGCAGACAGACAGATCTGGGCATGAGGAGCAGGCTGCCCTGGGCTCAAAATCAGGGCCCATGCAAAACTGAGAGAGGCTCCTTGTCTGTATGCTTACCCTGGGGTGGTGGTGGGGGTGGTGGTGTTGATTTTAAAGCTGGCATGCAGTGAGACATTCTACTTTTTCCACCCTGTTGCAGTTGCTGTTGCCAACCTCATTAAACAAGAACCTCCAATCTCTGGCCTGCTGTGGAGTGGGAGGGAGGACTGGCTCCTACTGTATCTGATCTGGTTAGTTATTAATCTCGGTTCCTGCCTGATCCCTGCTTGTTACACAAATAGCACAGGCTTGGAGATCACTTATCAAAACTATTATTCTTTAATGCAGAACTGTGTGTTAGAGGTAAAGCAACTGCAGATGCGTGGGAATGATTGAGGATGAAGTTTTAGGGGAGAGGGAAACTATTTATGGAATTGAGTTGTGTATAAAAGAATTTGCTCTTATGGTTGAAAAAGAGACAGGTGATGCCACCCCATTCTGAGGGATCTGTTCCTACCAACTGGGGAGTTTGCTATTCACCTGTGATCCTGTTCCAGTTTCATACCTGCCCTGTTGTAGACCTGTAAAAGGCCATTCTTTAATGTTGGAGATGGGAAGATTTTCTGCTTTCTGTAGCTCTCCAGAAGCTTTTCCTAAACTACAATCCCCAGTCACAGGTTCTTGTCTGAGGTGGGATAGGAGGCTGAATTTGGGAACTGTGTTTGAATGTAAACTTCAAGCTGGGCTGGAGAGGCTTAGAGGATCTCTTCCATTAAGGTTTCAAGCTGAGATCATGGTATGGGTCTTATCATGATTATCAGATGCAAATCACTCTGAGGTGCTACTTTTGTCTTTTCTTGTGTTGAATAGGAACATGTTGACTAGCAGTAAGACAGAGGACATGATAAGAACTAATAGTTACTTGGACAGGGATATATTTAAATTTTGTTGTTGTCTCTTCTCTACTATGACGTGCATTGCAGCACTGCTTTCCAGAGTAACACACTGTGGAAGGAAATTAACTTGTCTTCGCTATATGGAAATTTGGATGTGATTTCTATTGTGTTTGAACTAAGGAGAATGAAGCTGCCTGTGACGCAGCTATTAAATTTCCTTTTTTTGCTAGTTGTGCCCTTTTGTTATGGATTAATTGCACCTGGTTTGGTAAAGGGTTGTAGAAAGATAAAAAATTTTTAATTGGAAATATCCAAAGCTATTTTATTACAGTAAACCTTGCCGGCCAAATGCTATGTGAACGTGATTTTGTCTAGTTTTGCTCTTAAATAGCTGGGACCTTGGAGTCAATTTAATTCATTGTGTTCCATGTAAATGAGGCTGTACTAAATGACTAAGGGGTGTTATCCATGTAGGTCTGAGATGAGGAGTCTGGGGGAAAATGATAGCATCTGACTGATAACTGCTACCCACTAGGGAAGTCCCTGGCCTTCATTTCAGTAAAGATATGAGCACAAATGCATTATTACACTACTAAAAAGCCAGAGGAAGGAATTCTTCTCCCTACCCTTTTTTGAAGGCACTCAGGTCTTCATCTTTCCAGGCAAGAGCAATTTTTGCAACAATCTGTCTTCTTGAGGGATTAAGTCAGTGTCAAAGAGAGGGGAGGCAAAACTGTTAATTGCAGGCAATTCAGCTGGGGTAAAAATGCAATTAGAAGAGACATTGTGGAAATTGCAAATCCCAGGCACTTTTTCCTTATACCAAGACTCTCTATACTCTGATTCATGTGTTTGGACCTGCCAAGTTACTCACTCGGTAAAGCCTGAAACCAAAACCAGAATTTATCAGCAATTTATGGTGAAGACATGGAAAACCTCTCAGGCATCTTATGTCAAATTACATGTTTTTCACCTGCTAGTGCACTTGCTTAAGGTGGTGCAGACCTACGTATGCCTGGGTAGTTTTTAAAGATACACACTTTTAAGCAGTTGACAAGAACTGTTGTATGAAAAAGTCTGTATAAAACCAAAGTTTCAGGTAAGGCTATTTCAGAGCTCAAAAATAGATCACTAAATGGAATGAATCACTTGTTCACCTAAATGTGGTGCCTGAAAGGTTAGGATCTGTTATTAGAATAGATGTTTTGTAAGTCCTTTCTTGTATTAAGCACTTGATTCAGAAAGGTTCCTGTGCAGCTCCATACAAGTTAGGTTTTGTGCAGTTACAATTTCAGCTCTGAGCTGGACCTGTGGTTCTCATCATTGCAGTCATCCTTTAGAAATCATCTAATGCAAAATTAAAAAAACCCCAAAACATTAAGATTTATAGAGAATTCTGAAATTATATACATATAAAGAAAGATCTCTTACCGTACACAAACATTAACTCATACAGCTGACATAGTGAATCCTTTCAAGCATTCAGAAAGGTAATTTTTTTGTTGTTGTTGTTTGTTTTGTTTCTTTTTGCTTTGTGGAGGTTAAATACAGAATTTCTGTTATAGAGAAATTATTGAAAGAAAACTTGTCTGTATAAAGACTCCTTTCCAAGCTCTTGGGACTCTGGCTCCCTCAAATACAAATACCTTATATATTCAAGCTGGGATATACAAAATTTTGGTGTTGAATTCAGTATCTACATGACTAGAGCTCTATATCTGGTCTGATGAGGTACTAAACTGTTCACAGGCACTTCATACCTTTCTAATGCTTTCTCTGATAAAAAAGTTAAATGCCACGACATTTGCAATCTATCTACCACCTTCAGGCATAGTGTTTAGAATTGTTGAAAAAAAAACAACAAACAAATCTGGGGAGGTAAGAATACCTGAGAATTGATCCGTGGCTGAAGATGAAAAATGTAATTTGTCTAGAATGTAATTAAAATCATGTTATGTGGAACAGATTCACTGAAGAGGAGTGTCAGTTCTGATCTCCATTCTTTGTCTGATTCTTGGTAGACATTGAACAGGACACTAACGCAATACATCTATCTCATTTTATATGAATTGGCAGAATAGAATGAAGAGATTTGTGAAGAGGTTGAAAGAGTCTAAATAAGAAAAACCCAACCCTTGGGAATGACAGTTACTTCTGAACAGCTCGGGCCCTGAACTTTGCAAGAAGGATTGTTTTTCAGGGATTTATTTTTGATATTGTTTGGTTTTGTTTCGGTTTTGTTTCTTTGTTTGGTTTGGGTTTTTTTCTGTTTGTTTGCTTTTAAAATGTGTTATAGATGATATAGTATCTCTAACTTGGGTTGTGGCATTTGAACTCCATCTAGTTGAGCATGCTTTTTCTCACACTGTAGTCAGAAGAGTGGATGCAGCTTGTTCAGGTACACCTGACCTATTCAGGAAGTAGCCAAACTAGCTTAAGAAATAAAGATGTGGCAATATAAAGCAGCTTTAGCTCCAGAAAGCTTTTTATGTTTCCACATGAAAGCTGCTGTAATTGAAGCATTGCTGGTGCTTGTTGGTGTGATTTCATGCTTGGCTAACACTAACTGAAGTCAGTGCTCCTGAATGCCAGAGGTCCATTGACTCACCAAGAAAAGTTTAAGCTAGTCCTATCTTTTTTCTTGAGCCTACAGTAGATTTTGGACAGATGTCTGCTGAATTTAATCTGCCTGCTGATATAGATGAATGGTAGTTATAAGTTTAGATTGACAACAGGGAGGGTGGCTTGCCACTTCTCACAGCAGTGTAGTCTTAAAGCATCAGCACAACAGTACCCTGAGCTGGTTTCAAGCTGACTCAGACAAGCCTACACAGGGTGTAGTTACAACTTTGCTGTTTGTGTGTGCAAACCTGAAGTGTTAAGGGTGTCATGGCATGGCAAGAAAAAAATTATGACTTGAGTAGTATTAATGTTACTGAATTCTGGAATGCGCTGCTTCTACATTCGACTTGAAGTAATACATTTCTCTGCTGCTATAGCAACTGAGATTTAGATGTGTCTTCTCTTGAATGCAATCCAGAGCATCATGTATCATGTGCCTAGGATTTATGTATAGGAGACAAAGGGTGCTACAAATGACTTAAAAGAATGTGCTGTGGCAGTTTAAGAAGTTACTACCTGCAGCTATCTGTTCTGCTCTTCTGTAGGAATTTCTAGCATCCATATTGGAGCTGGCAAAGGCAATATGTATCGACATCAAAACTCCCTTAGATCATAATCTGGCATT